TGTGAAATACTAACATTCCAGTAAAAACAACTGTTACATAACTAAGTTTCCCTAAAAGCCACAAGCAAAACCCTATAAGGAGAAGTTGTTTAGGTCAAACTCAAAATCTCTCGAAACTGGTATTAAGCACTTTTCAAGATTCATTGTATTTATATTTTATAGTGATGATTGAACTTTTCCTTGTTGATTTATATTGTTAAACTCTATTGTGCTGTATAAATTGTTATGAGGGCATTTTTTGACGGCTTACACTTGAGCTAAGCTACCACGAGCCCATCATGTTACAAAGGCTTTTTTACAGTATAAATAATCTTACAATGTAAGGCAATATTGTTAAAATCACTTCACTAATTTATATTGTTAAACTCAACTATCATGTCTACAATATTATGAATGCATTGTTTGACCATTTATGTGTAAGCTACTAAGATACCACTAGCCCATGATATCTCAATGAATTTAAAAAATCACAAACTTGCCTTTCACAAATGCTTTTACAATATTCATAACATCATACTAAAATTCAATCCCTATGTTTTATGACAAGTGAAACGTTATCAAGAAAAAAGGTGGACATAACCTGGTATAAACCCATTACCAAGAACTGCAGCCAAGTCTCACACTACTCAATCCAAAATGATAAAAATAACTTATCTACTGTCTGACCCCGTTGAAACTGAGTGAATTCAAACAATACTACTCCTTAAAACTCCCTAAAACAAGCAACTAAATCTTCATAAACCCTAATAATCCAAAACCCTAAACCCCCAATTCAGTTCCAATGTACCCATTGAAAATTCCCTGTTTCTGGTTAGAGTATTACACTAACTCATCCTCTTCCATCTAGAAAAAAACCCTCAAATTAACAGGCAAAGAACAAAACCCTAGAAAATCAAATTAAGGGGAGGAGGAAAAGAGAACGAACCATGTGAGGATACTTGTCCTGATCGACGACCCTAGTGTTTTCGAGCTTGATGTTGAGGTATTGATCGACGGAGTGAAGGATCCCTCTGATTGCTAGATCATTCTTGAGATCCACCGTCACTTCCTTACCCTCCAACTCCTTGAAGTACGAGCAGAACAGCTGCAGTATGAACAATTTAGAACTTTGAGAGGTTGATGGAGGTTTGGGGTCGAGGAAAGAAACCCTAATTTGATGAAAAACAGGAAAAGAGAATAAGAAAGTTACCATCTTTTCAATTTGATTTGGGATCCAGAGAGAGATTGAGGGCGAAGACCCGAGTAGAAGGCGAGGAGCGCTCAGACTTTAGAGTTTCAAGTGGAGAAGAGGGCATTTAGGGTAGTTTTGTCAAAATACACATAATATACGTATAAAGGTGGGCTTTTGGGGCTGGGCCACAATTTTTACACTTTTTTGGGCCTAAAGCCTAATGGAAATAATTGGTGGGGCTGGGCCACATCAAATTCTCCATTTTGGGGCCTTGAAACATTTTCCCCTTATTTTAAAGTTCTTTTACAAAATAGTTTCTTAAAATATTTTCTCATTGCAATTAATTCTAAAAATATTCTTTAGAAATATTCTTTTCTTTTCTTCAAAAAAACACCTCATAAATAATATCGTTCATCAAACAATCCCACGCAGATATATCACAACATACAACATAATCGTAATACAGTCTAAACATGCATATTCATCAAACAATCCCACGCAGATATATCACAACATACAACATAATCGTAATACAGTCTAAACATGCATATAATTAATTCGCAGATCTAAAATTGAACCACAACATACAACATAATCGTAATACAGTCTAAACATGCATATAATTAATTCGCAGATCTAAAATTGAACTGACAAATCAAGAGAAGTAGGATCTTGCCTGCGAGGCCAAGGGGCCTGATGACGAGCGGCGGTGGCGCTGCTACGGATGCGGTACAACGGGTCTGAAGAGTTGGCGGCGGATCTGAGCGGCACGAGTTGCTACTGCAGAGGAGAATAATCTTACAATGTAAGGCAATATTGTTAAAATCACTTCACTAATTTATATTGTTAAACTCAACTATCATGTCTACAATATTATGAATGCATTGTTTGACCATTTATGTGTAAGCTACTAAGATACCACTAGCCCATGATATCTCAATGAATTTAAAAAATCACAAACTTGCCTTTTACAAATGCTTTTATAATATTTATAACATCATACTAAAATTCAATCCCTATATTTTATGACAAGTGAAACGTTATCAAGAAAAAAGGTGGACATAACCTGGTATAAACCCATTACCAAGAACTGCAGCCAAGTCTCACACTACTCAATCCAAGCTGATAAAAATAACTTATCTACTGTCTGACCCCGTTGAAACTGAGTGAATTCAAACAATACTACTCCTTAAAACTCCCTAAAACAAGCAACTAAATCTTCATAAACCCTAATAATCCAAAACCCTAAACCCCCAATTCAGTTCCAATGTACCCATTGAAAATTCCTTGTTTCTGGTTAGAGTATTACACTAACTCATCCTCTTCCATCTAGAAAAAAACCCTCAAATTAACAGGCAAAGAACAAAACCCTAGAAAATCAAATTAAGGGGAGGAGGAAAAGAGAACGAACCATGTGAGGATACTTGTCCTGATCGACGACCCTAGTGTTTTCGAGCTTGATGTTGAGGTATTGATCGACGGAGTGAAGGATCCCTCTGATTGCTAGATCATTCTTGAGATCCACTGTCACTTCCTTACCCTCCAACTCCTTGAAGTACGAGCAGAACAGCTGCAGTATGAACAATTTAGAACTTTGAGAGGTTGATGGAGGTTTGGGGTCGAGGAAAGAAACCCTAATTTGATGAAAAACAGGAAAAGAGAATAAGAAAGTTACCATCTTTTCAATTTGATTTGGGATCCAGAGAGAGATTGAGGGCGAAGACCCGAGTAGAAGGCGAGGAGCGCTCAGACTTCAGAGTTTCAAGTGGAGAAGAGGGCATTTAGGGTAGTTTTGTCAAAATACACATAATATACGTATAAAGGTGGGCTTTTGGGGCTGGGCCACAATTTTTACACTTTTTTGGGCCTAAAGCCTAATGGAAATAATTGGTGGGGCTGGGCCACATCAAATTCTCCATTTTGGGGCCTTGAAACATTTTCCCCTTATTTTAAAGTTCTTTTACAAAATAGTTTCTTAAAATATTTTCTCATTGCAATTAATTCTAAAAATATTCTTTAGAAATATTCTTTTCTTTTCTTCAAAAAAACACCTCATAAATAATATCGTTCATCAAACAATCCCACGCAGATATATCACAACATACAACATAATCGTAATACAGTCTAAACATGCATATAATTAATTCGCAGATCTAAAATTGAACTGACAAATCAAGAGAAGTAGGATCTTGCCTGCGAGGCCAAGGGGCCTGATGACGAGCGGCGGTGGCGCTGCTACGGATGCGGTACAACGGGTCTGAAGAGTTGGCGGCGGATCTGAGCGGCACGAGTTGCTACTGCAGAGGAGATGACGACGACGACTTGGATCTGGGCTGAGGCAGAGGAGAGAGGCGACGACAGATTCGACTGCAAGGGCGGCGCTGTTCGTCGGATTTGGGGCTGCGGAGTGGTCGTCGGCGGTCGAGGAGGCGGAGGAGGCAGCCGCGGCTGGCGGTGTCGGTGCGGCGCGAGGTGGGGGCGAGCTCAGGCGAGATGGGGTCAAATCTGGGCTCGGGGACTGTTAGCGGCTGTGGGGGCGTCGCTGGAGGCTCGCTGGGGCGGACTGTGGGAGGCGGTGCTGGATGCAGGCAGGGGAAAGGCGGAGCTCGGGCGGCGACTGAGGTGGCGCGGCTCAGGGAGGCTGACGGCTGCGGGGTTGGGCTGGGGCGGCGAGGCTGGCGGGTTTGGGCGCGGTCGTCAGATCTCGTCGGAAGGAGCGGTCGACGGTGAACTCGGTGGCTGGATCAGGAGGCTGGCGGCGGTTCGGTGATGAAGCTCAGGCGGATCTGAGGGGTTTGGCTGTGGTGGCTGCGACGAGGGCAGAGGCGGCGAGGCTGGCAGCGTGGGGCGGAGGCGAGCAGCGGTCGTGGGCGGAGGCGAGCAGTGGTCGTGGGCATCGGTGAAAGGAGAGGGGGGTGGGTTTTCGGTAATGGAGAGAGAGGGGAGAGATGAAGTGAATGAGAGTGAGAGAGAGATGAGATTTTGTAGAGAGAAAAAGAGCTCGTGAGTGAGAGAAAGAGCACGAGAGATTAAAAAAAAGAAGAGGGGGAAACACGAGGAGGGAATTGCGGGAAATGAGGAGGAAATTAAGGAGTGGGTAAGGGAGAGAGAGTGCGAGAGATATTGATTGGAGAGAGAGATACAGAGTGATATACCGGTGAGCGGGAAAACGCAGGGAAAATACCCCTATATAAAAATATACAAGAAAAAGTATTCAAATAAATATTAAAAATTTATTGTCAAAATAATAATAACAATAATGAATAATTAACTATTAATTTAAAAAGTTTTACCGAACAGCTAACTTTATAATTAGCAAAACCATTAAAATATTATAATACCATATTTTTAAATCGTAGAAAATTGGAAAAAATACAAATACTCTTTTAGAAAAATAATATTTAATATTTAAATACTAGAAAAATTTATTCAAATAAAAATTGAAAATCACGGTCCTTACAGTCATGTACTCATATTCTTAATCATATTAACAGAAAATGATGGAAATGTTTCAAGCATATTCCCAAAAATGAATTGGAAGGATAAGAAAACATAATTTGCAAATATTCTAGATTTGACATAAATATGCAAAAACACTTTACGTGGCATGCAAATAACATGTGTCGAGGGTGTAATCAAGAAACAACCAACCATTAGTTTACTCCTTCGCTCGTCTACCCCGAAGTCTTTCACGATCTCTCCCCCCCTCCTCCCCCCAAAATTCCCTCTCTCTCACGCCCCTCCCCCCACCTCCGATCGAAAACCATCCAAAAAAAAAAAAAGAAAATTAATCCCATCGAAAATTTCCGGCCGAAAACCTTAATCATAAACCCTAAATGAAAAATATCCTGAAGCGGATTCACATCGGAAACAACCACGATCCCGCATCGATCCAAATGAAATCCCCTCCACTTCAACCCCTACTCCTTCCCCTTCATGCGGATCGGAATCACCGCTCGGCCTCCGCGCTCGGCAGGTGACCTCAACCGACCTCCCATCGCCGCCGGATCTGCCCTCGACGGTGCGGGTGGCGGAGAGGAAGGACTACTTCTCGTCGGAAGAGGAGTACCAGATTCAGCTCGCGATGGCGATCAGTGCCTTCGAACTCTGGGGCGAGGCGATACGAGAGATGATCCTGATGTTGATCAGATCAGGGCGGCGACGCTGCTGAGCTTGGGAACGCATAGGAGCAGTTCGAGGGGAGAGGAGGCGGGGGCGGCAGCTGAGGCGCTTTCGAGGAGATATTGGGTGAGTTCAGGCTAGGTATTTGTTAAAATTTTCGGTACTACGTTAATTTGTCAATTTGGCACCCCCAAAGACCTAACTTTGTTCCTAAACTCTCCCAGAAATTAAAAAACTGGATATCAAAGTTTCAAATTGTCAAAAGAAGAACTCCAGGATATCAAAGATAAAAAATGTTGGAACTTCGGGGGTATTAAAAATGCAAATTACGCAAACTATAACCTCATACCTAACCACAAGTTTTGTTGCAGTGTAAGGGAACCAGTTTCAAATCCCTCTGTCGGAGTCCAAGTTTTGGTCCATGAAAGGGGTGAACCTTGGAGATCATGTTAGTCCATGAAACTATAACCCTTTAGGCCTTAACCTTGCAATAACTTTGTAGTCTTGGTGCAGTGGAGAGGATATTTGACCATGTTATTTTTTTAATTTTATTTCTTGTTGGAGTTTGTTTGATGTGAGTTTGGTTTTGATTTTGTTGATGAGAAAGATTTGAAGTTGTAGGAAAATAATGGGTGAAATGGATGCATTCATATTTGCAATTTTATCCTTCTGACAATGTGAATCGAGGGTGTGATAAGTGATACTAAAATAGTTGTGGCATGACAAGTTCTATTGAAGGTATATATGAAGGGGGTTATCTGCTATTTGCATTCTTATTTCTTATTTCTTCTTGTAGTTCATTTGTTGTAACTTTAGAGGCTTTGGTGGATATATTTGTTGATGGGAAGAATTTGAATTTGCATAAATTATTGGGTGAAATGTATGGATTAGGGTTTATTTAGGGGATTGAAGTGATGATACTTGAAATTTAGGTATTTTGTGTTTTGGGTTTGTGGGGATTTATTGTAGTGATGGCATTGTGTGAGTGGGAATTGGTTGTGTATTGATAACCGAATAACATCTTATATCTAGTCTCTTCCCTTGTCCTTTCCATCTCTATTTGATTATCAAATGATACTTGCGCTTGATTTAGAGAAATATATTTACTGGCATGTTCATCACATGCATTACTAAGTTAGACATGTAACTTCAATTGAGGTAAAATCAAGGTTTTAAATATCGGATGTCGGGTTCATGTCGGACGGCTGATTCATATAGCGGAAATCGGGGATATATCTGGGGACGTGGACTAAATATCGGATTGCCATATCATGTCCTAAATGTAATCTAAATATTCCTAAATTTAATATAAGCATATTTTATAAATTCTAGAGGCAGCGCCGGGATGGGTGGATTCCGACGTTGCAGGGAGGCAGTGCCGACGACGGGACGTCGCAGGGAGGCAGTGTCGGGGCTCTTTTTCTTCTTCATCTGTTTGAGGTCTTTCGGATGAGTCACCAACCACTCTCTTCCCTTTACCCCAATGATAGGATACCCTACCGTGCTCGGGTTCGATTGAGGTTCGGATTTCGTGGCGCAACGGGAGATGGATGACGGGGTGCCGAGATGGAGGTGGAGAAAGGGTGTCGTCGTTCACGAAAGGAGGGATGCGTTTCCAAGTCCATTGCAGTCCTAATATTTCTCTTTTCTTTCTATCGGGTTCATAAGAAGCCCTTAAACATGAGAATGGATCAAACGGGTTTGTGTTTTTATCACTAAACCCAAACCCAATAACAAAAATAGATCTAAAAAAAGGGGCCATATCGGCCGATTTTTTAAAGCTGAAAAATCGGCCAATATGCCCGATATGATCCCGATATTTTCGATTTGGTCTTGAAAACCAACATACGAGTTGAAAACGCCCATGTCGTGTCGTTCAAGCCCTCAAACACCGACGACATGTCGGTCGGCATTTAAAACCTTGGGTAAAATGGGAGTAGAATGATGGGGAGGTCCTTAGGAAGGCCATGATGCTAAAGTTTTTGGGGTTATATATCTCGGTCCTTGACCTACCTCTCTCAAGCCCCAACCCTGCTTCTGCTCTTTAGGGTTTTAAGCCTTGCACAACTCTTTACAAGATATTCAATATATATTTCAAATTTTATACACCACTAGATATTGGAAAATAATTACATAAAAATGCATTTACCTAGGAGTAATTATGTAATAATTGTTAGATTGATCAAATAACACATGTTAATAAAATCGGTGGCAAATAGATAATATCAAACTCTAATGAGGTAGAAAACAACTCTTTACTTCTTTTTGATTACTCCTAACCTAAAAAGAGACTTTAGAAGATTAAGGGGGTCGGCTTGGGCCCTTGGGTTGGTTAATTAATGAATAAATCTTGCTAGGGTTGGTTAATTAATGAATAAATCTTGCTATGGCCTGTGGTATGTCTTTGCCCAAACATTGTACGGGCCTATATGGCGCCCTATCTCTATCCTTTCCTTAAGAGTACTCTTGACCTTTTGAGGTCCAGTTAAGGTTATGGAGGTGTTAGGTGACCCGCACCCATTGTCATATCTAATTGGAGGAAAACTAATTGAATTAACACAGCACTTGGTATGAAAGTTGGAGTGAGATGATTGTTGTTGGTGGAGATGGCAAGCAGGTATACCAGAGGAACATAGCTTGCAACGGGTAATAAGGATACTATGCCTGCTAATTTAACAAGATGGATGGAATTTACACAATAAAAGTCTGCTTTAATAGTTTTAGTGTAACTTGTACATTGCTTGTGCTGCCAAGTATTTTAATTCTTTAAGAATTAAGAAACAGTATCAAAAGAACATTTTTAGAAGAATTTAGCACCTTAAAAAGCTTCTTAACATGAGGAACTTTTATTTGAGTGGAATTTGACGTTTGTCATTTTCATTGTATATCTCCATCCTTATCAACAACCAAAGGAACTGCATTTTGATCTTTATTCCTCATGCCCTTTAGTTTTTTTTGTTACTTTTCCATAGATTATTTATCTTCATGGAAGGAAGAGTTTTCTTTCCTAAAGTTTTGGCTGGAAATTCATAACTCATTAGACTAATTAGTGCAGCAGGTTTCTTTGTTTGATATGGGTATTTATTCACTATAAATGATTTTGTTTTTTTGTTTTTTGGCTAGGATTACAATGTGGTTGACTATGATGAAAAAATTTTGGATGGATTCTATGACATATATGGACTTTCCATTAATTCTGCAAGTCATGGAAAGATGCCTTCACTTGTGGATCTTCAATCAAGCATCGGGGATCTTGGTTATGAAGTCATTATAGTCAATCGGGCAATTGATCTTGCTCTAGTTGAGTTGGAGCAAGTTGCACATTGCATATCCTTAGACTTCAGGGAAGCTGAGGTTGGCTTTTTGGTGCAAAGAATATCTGAGCTTATTGCGCAGCATATGGGTGGTCCTGTTAAAGATGCACCCGACATGTTTGCTACATGGATGGAGAAAAGCACAGAGTTGCGAACCTCGCAGCAGACAAGTTTACTTCCTATTGGATGCATTAATATAGGTCTCTCCCGTCATCGATCTCTTCTTTTTAAGGTTTGTTGTTTCTTTCACTCAATGGTTAGTTTTTCTTTCTGGTAATGCTATTTCTTGTGCTTACAACACATCGAAAATAGTTTCAACTTTTATTTCGTGAAACTGCTAGTGCAAGTATTAAATGAATAATCAGAATCTTGTGTTCCTGTGTTTGAATACATTGCATGTATATTCCTTGTAAAGGAAAGTAGTTTGAATCATTGGAAATTTTCTGTCTGGAATCTGTATTTCTTCTGGCAAACTCTTCTATCCTGCATGCTATTGGATAAGAATGTAATTATGTCATATTGAGTGTTTTAGGATTGTCTCTTCGTTGTTGTACAGTGCTACAAGTGAAGAATAGTAATAGATAATCTTGGTCAAATGGAATCCTAGTTTATACAGTATTGACTAATTTTTATGCATTTGGAAAGGCCATCTTTCTTTCATCAAGAAGTTCATTTTTGTTATGAATTTGTTATAAACTGACCAATCTCACAACTCAACCCTGTTCTCTAATACAGATTCTTGCAGATGATGTTGGGATCCCTTGTAAGCTGGTTAAAGGAAGCCACTACACTGGTATAGAAGATGACGCTGTAAACATTATAAAGTTTGGTGATGGGAGGTATAGTATGCACTTGCTTTTCTAACTTAACAAATTGTTCTATACATTCAAGCATCAACAAAAGATGTACAATTGTACACTATATTGAAGCAGGAGTTGAAGTGTCCGTAAGGTGTTAGTAAATTGGTAAATTTTCACAAGAATTTAGATAATTGTTAAAGGGGAACAAGTTTTTGAAAGTGGGATAATTGGGAACAATTTTTTAAAGTGGGATTCTTGATAAAATGAGATGGGATAATTTGCGGTAATCAAGAAGAATATAATTTATGCATTTTGATTATAAAATGACTTTTTTATATACTTTAAACTTACTATTACTGATTAATAGTTACTTAATATAATGTTAGTTACTGTTGAATTAACTTTAGATTAGACTACAACATATTGTTAATAATTATCATAATAATTCATAATTTTTGAATTATTATAGTACAAGTCTAAAAAAATTAAAGCTCTTTTCATTTATTCCTTTTTTTTACTCACCCGAATCTCGTTTCCTCATATCTCAATTTCAATTATTTTTTTAACAAATTATAGATCTATGATTCTTTACTTTAAATCAATCTAGAAATCTTGTATTTGGTAAAAAAGAAAATAGCATATAAAGAGAGGAGTAAGAGGAGAGGCGGTATGCTCTGATGGCGTGGTCTACTAATGGCGATGACCATCAGAGGAAGAAAGGATGAAGAAAAGAAAATAAATATGAAAAATAAAAAATGATAAGAAATAGGAGAGTTCTAGTTTCTTACCAACTAGTTCTAGCCTAAAACGTGGAATAAAACGTGGAATAAATGGAGAGACCAAAACTATCATTTTTGTACAGAGAAATGAAAAAAGGAGATAATTTTTTACCATTATTCCAGTTCTAATTTTGTTACAATTCTAATTGACTAACACTTAAAAATTTTATCCTAGTCCTAATTCTAATTGACTAACACTATAAAATTGTATCCCACAAATTCTCCTAATTCTTGTTTTGAGTTCTACTTGACAAACCCTCCTAAGCAACATTGTGAAGTGGGGCTTAAGCATTGATTTAGCAAGTGTTTTACAGCAGTTGTTACATTATTATCTGTACTAACCTTGAAGCGGAAAAATCTTCAAAAGTAGGAATATTATATTGTTGTAATAGTCTTTACCTGTTAGACTCAATCTGTGCAATAACACCCCCCCTCCCCTGGCGAATTAATTTGTCACATAAGAGGCTGATCAATTGTCTATTGGACCTAGAACAGTTACAGGAGAATGGAGATGATTTTGTTGACAATTACTGGCTAGATTAGGTTCTTTCCATACATAATTGGACAAGATTATTCCTTGGACTAATGAAAAGGGACAAGAAACCAGGTTGGTAGGATTAGTCTTACGCTTCATGTGTCCATCTATCCTGTTTCTTTCCAGAATACATGCTAAAAAAATGCACACTATAATGATGAAGGAATTATTCTTTGGGATGGCCACTTTCCTCTGAAATGTTATGAGTCATGATATAAAGCATTAGCAAGAAGACTATCTTGTGATCTATGGCATATTACGGTGAAAGATTATTCCTTTACCTGTCAAATTTTAATTTGATATAGCTATTATCCCAATCCTTTTTTTTGTTTAACTCTGGCTTTTTGTATTAGGGAATTCTTGGTTGATCTCATGGCTGCTCCTGGCACCCTTCTTCCAGCAGATGTTTTGAATGCGAAGGATGCTACAACAAAATCGTATAATGAAACAATGAATCAGAGCCTACTCCCTTGGATAGCAAATAGTTCAGCTGATGATCTTTTAAAAACCGAACCGTTGCTATTGATGAACAATGGATCTGGGAACTCTACCGGTGGTGATAAAAGGGCTTTAGACCAGATGCCAAGATATGAAAACACACTACTGGTACCAAAAGTTCCAAACAGCCACTCTCAAGCATCATCCACAGGTATTGGTAGCAGCTCTAGTGCCAATATAAGGAATTTGTATCCCCCTGACAAGTCCAATCAGTTCTCACCGACTAACATTGCAACTACTTCAAAGCAAAAGGAGGCGTTTGAGGTCAGGTTGGGTGGTGATACCTCTCAAGACACTGCAGACTCCAGAAACCTCTTCTCTGAGCTCAATCCATTTCAGGCAGTTGGTGTTCCTAAACCCTCTGTGCAATTAAAAGCAGCTGATGGTAAAAATATAGAATATGATAGACGTAGAGAGAAGTTTGCTGGGAGACAACCTCCGTTGGTCTGGAAAAATCGTACTCCATGCAATTTGATTCCGAATGCGAACTCTAATAATTGTCTTGAGGGGCTCCCTCCAAGACAAAATATTGTAGCTGAAGGTAGTAATGCATCGACATCTCATTCATCCGGCTTAGTTGGAAGGGAGTGTTCCAATGCCCAAAATGTCCGATTTTCTGCTATGTCGCCATACTCTGCTGAAGTAGGTTCTTCTGACAAGGAACGAAATGATTTATCAAGTGGAACTACTAGTGGTCCTTCTGAAGCCAGTAACTTTGGTGTTGCTTCAGGAGCAAACCATGACGGCGGGCAGGATAGCAAATATAACTATAATAATGTTCCTCCAAACAGACAGATTATCCCAATTCAATCATCAGGAGACAGTTATGTGGATAAAAATTATAGAAATGGATGGGATTCACAAAATAGAATGATGGATGAAATAAAAGAACATGGAAAAAATGTCAATCATAAACATGATCGAAAAAAATATACAGCTGACAGATTTATGGGGACAAGTATGCTGCCACAAAATCCTTCATGGGAACCAAGGCCAAGCAGACTTGATCCAATGCTTGATGATGTGGCTGAATGGGAAATTCCATGGGAGCACCTTGTCATTGGTGAAAGAATTGGACTTGGTAACTTTCATAAACCTGAGCTACAATT